TTATAATTAAAATATTAAAAAATTAAAACATTTTCGTAAGGAACTCCTGATGTTTGATGTTTGTCGTGTCATTTTATGTACCCTTTTATTACTTTTTTTTCTTTTGGCATTTCATGTGCATGCTCGAGGTTGAGATGTGCTTGTGGTGGCCACAGCCCCACACTATTTTCCTCCCTCACTTCATTCTAAGTGTCATTACATATTTTCATATTCTTCATGTTTTCATAAATGTTTCTTTGTTTCTTTATACCCTCTGCCTTTATTACTTTTCTTATTTCTGTACCTTAATTATTCCTCCATATAATGATTTGTCATATTTTCACATTTTTTACAGTTTTATCCTTCCGAAGGATTAGGTCCAGCCTTTTGGCGGCCGAGTCAATAGCCTTACCCCTCTAATGGATCAAACCCTGTTTAGCCTAGGTGTCCCGCCGTGGGCAAAATTGCTTTTATCCTAGTGTTAGGCCAAAAGAGTCGCCGTACTCTGTTTTAAGGTTTTCCGCCGTGGAATCCCTAATTTAACCCTATTTTAATTTTAATTAACATTTTTTTTTACATAGAGATTGGAGTCTCTGAATAAACCTTGGCCACAGTCAAGACGTTTCTAACCTCCCTTTTGAGGGGAACTACAGTTACTCTGATTCCATTCCCGTAAGGATATGTAGGCACAAGATGCGATGTCTTGCCGAATAAACTTAGAATTAACCCTAGGTCTTTTTAATTTTCAATCCTTTGTATATACCCTAAAGCAAAATAATTAATGAAATAAATAAAAAAATAAATAAAAGGTTCCCGTAGAGTACTACGGAAGTTTAGGGTGCTAATACCTTCCCTAAATTTAACCAACCCCCGAACCTTAGATCTCTCCCTTTTAGGTTTTTCCTTTCTTTAACCTTTCCTTCGGATAAATCAAAGACCGATTGTAAATGAATTAAGATTCAAGTTAATCAATAGCTTGACATCCAAATTTCACCGCAACAGAAACACTTGGTCCAAACATCTGAAAGATAAAGTCTTAAGAAAGGTTGGCACCATGATTTTTTCATATCTCTAGTGTAGGATAAGCCTGAATTCGAGCTTTTGATTAGCAAAATCAAACAGTTATATATTAATGGATCTTCAATCAGTTTATAGAGAGATTCTGGGTGCAAGGTGCCTCTTTTGCAAGAAGCTAACCTTATTAATTTAGAAGGTCATTCCATTTTCCTAAATTCTAATGTGGCATATTTTATTATTGTAAATCAGTGTCATTTTCCTTTTGAGTGGCCCATTTTATTTCATTTATAATGCACAAGGTCCTCAAGTAAACTTTACAACGGTCTATCTCAAGGACCAAAACTTTTGGAGAAATTTATGTTCAAGTGACTTAACTCTTAGATAATCTTATACCTTCAATTCTCCTTCTTCTCTTAAGCTTGATTAGGATAAATAAATTCGGTCCTTGAACATACCTTATTTGAAATCTCTAAAGGTATAAAGGCTAATGCACAACAATATTCCCACAAATGACATGTTGAAATTAAGGGATTGGTCAATGGCCTAAATTTGTATTATGTGTAAAGGCCATGATGGATCCACTTTTCACTTGTGTTTTGAATTCCATTATGCTGTTAACTTTTGGCATAAACTCAATGCCAAAATTAACACAAACTTGCAGTACTATTGTCTTGAATACTTTTGTTTTTCCAGTAATAAAGGTATGGCTGCTTAATGTTCCTTGGTCATCAAGTATTCCATGATCAATATAATACTTGCGATTTGGTCAGTTAGGAATATGTATTACTTCAACAATCATTCCACTAATTTTTATATTTTCATCTCTCAGATATTGGCTCAAGTTAACTTGGCACATAAACAGTCTAAGTTAACCACCGAGGCTTCTCTATCATATTTTTCAATTATAAAAAAAAAATTCATGGTCCACCCGTCCTTCGTGTTTCGTGTAACACCTCAAAAATACTTAAAATGTTATTATTTCAATTTTATTGCATTTTTAAGATTTTATTATTTATATTATTATTATTTATTTATTTATTTATTTATTTGTAATTTATAAAATAGAAAAGAGTGAGAGAAGAAAGGAGATAAATAAAGAAGAATGAAAGAAATAAAGAAAAGGGAGGGAAATAGAGAGAAATAGAGAAATATGAGAGAACTTAGAAAAGCGGAAAATAAAAAGAGAAACATGTATTTCTCTAAAGAAAAATAAAAATCCTAATCATTCTCTTTTTTTTTTCCAAAAAACTTTTTCTTCTCCTAAAATCTAAGAGAAAAACCTCAATTCACCAAAAAAAATCACAGTATAGATTGTGCAAATGAGGGTTGTCTCCATTATTGAGAGCTTCGTGGATGATTTTCTTCAATAAAAAGGTAAGGGGATATTATTCAAGAACATTGATATTTTAGCATTTAGGATAGTGAGGTGTTCCTTGAACCTCAAATCCATTCTAATTCCTATGGCAATTGCCCTACGAGATGATTTTTCATAAATCCTATGTTATGAATCTATTTCATATCATCAATGAGTTAGGTTATTTGAATAATTTGATGTATTTTCCCCTAATTTACTTGTATGAATGTTTATATCATGTTTTGATTCGATGAATATGTGTTACGATGAATGGATTGTGTTTAATTGATGGTTATTTTATGCCATAATGTATTATATTTTGTAAATTCTTGTCGGGACTATTTCTTGAGGTTGAATTGAGTTTATACGCGATTACTTCTGTGAAACATGAAAATTCACACTGTGTAATCAATTACACTCAGGGTGTAATTAATTACTACCCCTTCAGCAGTTGTAAAAATTGTTCAACAGTTGTAAAAAGTCAGGAAGAACATTAATATAATCGATGACCACCCCTTTGAGAGCTGAAAACTTAAACAAACAACTGTGTAATCGATTACACCAAACGTATAATCGATTACATGTTTTAGAGTTATTCAAAAAGTCATATTTTGAGTTTAGAAACTCCATTTGAGACACAGTTTGATGCATTAGAAAGCTATTGCAAAGACCTATCTTGTGGTAAGGTATCATGATGCTTATATGTATGTGTAATACTGCTATTAATTAATGAATGTGAGATAAACCTTATGACATGTGACCAATGATTGGTAAGATTATTGTGAAGCCCTAATGTAGCAATCGAGTTGAAAATTTGATAAAATTATTATGAAACTCTAATGTGGCAATCAAATTAAAGTGAATGTATGGTAAAACTTTATGAAACCTCTAATGTGGTAATCAAAGTAAATTTGTTAAAAAAGGGAAGGAGGTTTAGGAGGAATTCGCGTGTGCCTGATCATCATGCATCATATCATAGTGACAGTAGGTTTGCATCTAGAGATAGTGTCATAGTACAAATGTAGCTCACATGTACTCCTGGACAGTTGATAGTCTACAAACGTTTAGAGAGAGTGTTATAGTATATGTAGCTCACATGTCTTCCTACTTTAAAGTTTAGAAAGAGTGTTGTATTATGTACGTAGTTTAGATGTACTCATAAATATTTGAGAGTCTACATACCTCTACAGAAAATGTTGTAGTACGAAACGTAACTCATATGTCATTGTAAACTATATATTTCAGGAAGAGTATTTTGGTATGTAAGGTAGCACGTATGTCCTTTCAAAATAAACCATGAATTTAGTGAGTGATACCACATGCATATAGAGTTGACTATAAAGTGCATTCATATGCATTTATTGTATATTATGAAATATCATGTAACTGTGTAATGCTTAGGTGGTTTTTTTAGCTTTTATTGAGCCTTCTCCTTGGATGAACTGATTTTTTTGCAAAAGTATGTCAGTTTTAAGAGACATAGGTAGCTAATCATCAATATTTTTATAAGTTTTAGATTGAAATAGATACTCTCTTGGTGGTCAATTTTTTTAAGTCAATTTAGTGCCTCCACAGCTAAGAAACACATGGGAATCTTGCACTATTTTAATTGCATCTAGGCCATTTAACATATATAAGGAGAGTGAAAATTGTGCATATGATTTTTACTAATATAGGGTTCGCCTCTTTTTCTCTTGCATTTTTTTTTGACTCTATCCTTTTGAATATTAAAATGACATTGTCAAAAATAGGCATAAATTTTTTTATAAGATTAATAATCTTTTGAGTGAATTTTGATATAATCCGCTAACTCTTTTATACTATCTTCTTTTTCAATATATGAGCCTTTTATAAAATAAAGAATATAAATTTTATTATGTCTCTACATTTATTAAATAATTAAAAAAATAAAAATATAATAAAATGTGAAACTTATTATAAAATAAAATTTTATTGATAGAAGCAGACTAGACTAGCAAAGGATCTCTTGTGCAAAGCATCTCCTAAATTACTAGAGTTACAAAGAAAAAATAGAATAAAATCAAAGTAAACACACCACAAACAAAACTAAAGTGACATCAACAAAATAAAACACATTACAACATAAATATTAATTGAAATCTCTCATGTTCTAAAACTTCAACCCATGTTTAACAAATTTCTTTTCCGTCATAGTGTTTATATGCTCAATCATTTCTGTTGTAAGAAGATTTTTCGAATCTCCAACTTGACCAAGACGGAAAAAACTTTTGTTTTCAACTTTAAAAGATGTTTTTTCAATTTTATTGACTTCCAAATTACTCAACTTGTCAAAACTACACAAATTTAATATATCATCAACCATACCTTTAGATTCTTCTTCTTTAGAGAATGGACAGTCCAAAAACTTAGCAATCTCTTTCAAATAAAAATTAGGTTTCATTTTCATTTCTTCATATTTCAAAAACATAATCTTCTCTGAACTTTCTAAACTTTTTTTCCAATATCCTAATACATGCTCCCAAAAAGGTCCAAAAGGACTTTCTCCTCTGCAAAAACTCTCAAATGCCTCTTCTAACGGAAGTGTTTCCCTACTTTTTGCTCTTATCTTGTTTGCGAAATGCCACAATGAAACAAAATTGTCTTTAGGATCTCTACATAGATACACCACCTTACTATTTGAATCCCGCACAGATTTTGGCAATGATTCATAAGATATATGAGTCGAGAAAAGTCTTGGAGGAGATATTGTTTGGAGATCAGGAACTAAATCTTTGTCGTAGTAAAGGCCAACTTCCCAAAAGGGAACAAGATCGTGAGGGTTTTTAGTGAGAAGAGGATGATCGTCATGAATATTGGGATATTTGTTGCGGTTTACCAAAGCAAACATCAATGCTTTGAGCCAAGTTGTACCTGATTTGGGAAAAGTTACTAAGAGGATATCAGTATCAATGGCTTGAAAGTGTTTTTGACAAGATAAAACACCATGGAGAACCTTTGGGAAAAACCAAAATCCTTGATATTTATATAAGTCACTTTCAATCCAACTTTTTACCAATGGCAATGTAGGTAATAACTCCTTGCATTCTTCGCCTATGTCATCTTGTTGTAAGAATTCTGGTACAAGAGTGTTTTCATCATTTGAATTTTTTATGGTGTTCATACGGGAGGTTGGAGTTGAGATAGAATAGGTTTTTCTTTATATTGGTTATAGGTAAGATCCTTGAAGTGGGTGTTATATATATATATATTTTTATAAATTTAAGTGATGTTATTTTTTAATAAATAAAAATATTAAAATTAAGGTTTGGTGAAATAACTCAACTAATAATATGTATTAATCAAGTTAAATGAATGCAAACAGACTGTCTAGTAGTGTTTTAAAAATCGGACCGGTCATCGAACTGGTGAGGATATTGAGTCACTGGTTTATCGGTCGAACCATTGAGTCACTAGTCGAACTGCATGACTAAACCGGATTAAACCGGATAACTCGGTTGAATAGACCTGTCATTATATAGATATAAAACCGGTCGAACCATATGACTCAGTTTCTAAAAAAAATATAACTAGTACTTAAATTTTTTGAAAATATTATATCATAAATTCACAAGTTCATAATTTAAATTCAAATTTTAAACAAATGTATCACACATAACAAAATAATACAAAATTACAAAATAATTGCAACATAATCTAATTTTAAACAATTTTTTTTTAAATTTTTATAACTTTTGCATTTAAACTTTAATTAAAAAATAAAAAATGCATTAGAACCGGTCTAACCCTAAATCCGATTTTTCTCGATTTTTATCGGTTTGATGACACAGACGATCGAACTAGTAAACCAGACCGGTTACTAGACTGGTTCCCAGTCCGACCGGCCGGTCTGGTCCGATTTTTAAAACACTGCTGTCTAAGATTGAATTTCTAATGACAATATTTCTTTATATTTATGTATAAGTGTAATAAGATATGTATAAATTGAAATCAATTTAAATAAATATTTAAAATTAAGTAACTTAGATATGAGTTATACGATTTTTTAAAGAAAATTACTTTATGATAAGCTAATCAAGTTATGTTTTTATTTTAAATATATTTAAATAAATGGTCATGCTAACCAGTGCTCTAAAGTCACTAGTTAAGAATTCTAAATAAAGAAAATATGTTATATTTAATTCACTCAAAATACATAGTATTCTTTAAAAAGTTTGATTATTTCTCTTTTCAGAGCATTGAATACACATATATTTTTAAAAAAAAAATGTATTTTCAATCTTTTAAATAATGCCCAACTTACCATTTTAATCTCTTAACAAATATCCTGAGGGCACTCGTTAGCATTTCGCTTAAATAAATTATTAAAAAGTTGTAGTAAACTTATTGAATAATTAAAATGATTGTTTATGATGAGCTATTTAAATCAATTTTTATTTAATACATTTAAAAAATATTGTACTGCACTCAATAACTTCATATCACGTGTGTATGTCTAAACATTTTAGTAAATCTCTTTGATCCCATTAATCATTTAGGTAGCCAAATATCTACTCTATCCTGACATGTCTTAAATACAAGAGAAATGAGTGAACATAAAATGTACATGTGTACACATGTCTTAAATACAAGAGAAATGAGTGAACATAAAATGCTGCATACATATCTTGAAACATTTAATATTTGGCAATAGTTTGCCAAATAAGGATGCGGATGTCATCGTTGAGAGACTCTTCTTTTCCGAAATAGCGGTCACCTTTGGTTGCCATTCTCTTGTCAATGATCTTAAGACTTTCAGGTTGAGATCATCATTGGTGAAGGTCTTCCCGAGAGCAATCAAGTGATTTTTTAGATGAACGAATCTTTTTTGTAAGGCAACAATAGATTCACCGGGCTGCATACGGAACATCTCATATTCTTGACTTAACGTGTTGAGTCTTGATCTTTTTACTTCTGCGGTTCCTTCATGCGTTTCTACCAAGGTGTCCCAAATCTCTTTTGTCGATCTACAATGTGATACACGGAAGAACTCTTCCATACTAAGAGTGCTTTGGAGTATGTTGATTGCTTTCTTTTCATTAAGAATCTTTTTCTTATCGTCTTCATCATACGTGCTTTTCAACTTTGTCGTTCCAACGTCATTGACCATATTTACTGGATTGTGTGGTCCATCTTCGATTGCTTCCCATATACCTTCTCCTTGGGCTTCAAGATGTGCCTTCATTCTGATTTTCCAGAAATCGAAATATTCTCCAGAGAACAATGGTGGTTTGTTACTACTTCCACCGTCTTTGAAAACCAGGTTGGTGCTAGCGGAAGCCATACTGAATTTTTTAGGAACAGGTTACCTTAACCTGCTCTGATACCAATTGTAAGTTTAGAGTATGCCTAAGAGGGGTGGGGGGTGAATTAGGCTTTAGAAACTTTTTCCGGTTTTTCGAAACTCTTGAATTTTTCTTCTTTAAGTTCTTGGTGATGAAAGCAGTAAAGGCAGAAACAAAAATGAACACAGAGATTTATAGTGGTTCCCTTTACAATCCGAAGGTACTTTACTCCCCTTTCCACATGAAAGAGAGTTTTCACAATAGTTTTAGAAAGTAAAACCTATCACACCATCAACCGGTGAGGCCTACAATCTAACAACTAATCAACAACTAGTGTGCAAGAACAATCCTCTTGCAAACACTAACCCTTGTGTCCAACAATCCTGGATCACAAGTCACAATAGAAATAACTTTGTATTTTTGTAATTTGAAAGTGATACAATGATAATATCAATCTAATGATTGATCTTCTCCTTTTGATCGGAATTCACTTTTCAATATCAATACAAGTGTTCAAAAATCTGGATATGAAATTGTATGAACAATATGAACACTTTTGAAAATATTTGAAAATATTTGAAAAGTAATGAATTTGATTCAATGATAATTTTGAAAATTATTGGAGGTTGTTTTTCAATTTGAAATGTTCAGAATTTATATGAGTCAAACACCATTTCAAAAAGGTATAATTGAGTATGAATCAAAACATGAAAAGGTATGATATTCAAACAACATTTGAATTTTAACAGCAATAATTTTTCAAAATTCGTTAAGTGTTAATCGGTTAACCATATAGGTTAATCGGTTAACACTTGAACGTTGGCCCAGAGAATTCAAAATTTAAGACCGTTAACCGATTAACCCATATGGTTAATCGGTTAACACTGTTAAAACTCATAAAAATGCTTGAGTTAAAAAGTGTTATACCAATTCAAATGATTTTAAAACCACGAAAATGCAATATGTTATCATGTTGAAATATTTGAACACTTGTATATCAATTAAAGGAGTGAATATTGATATACCGAAGCTTGAGTCCAAATCTTGAAAGATGAAAGATCATTTGCACATGATTCTTGAATTGCTTGACAACATTCCATAGATGATATGCTTCTGGTTTTATCTTCAGTGGATATACCCCCACGGGTATATAGTGCAAGCAGCTTCTTAGTACATATACCCCCACGGGTATATAGTGTAAGTATCTTGATCAATTTGAAAGCTTTGACTTTTTGCTTGCAATAATGGAATGAGCTTAAGTCTTTGTTGACATCATCAAAACCTTGAGATTGAAATGCTTCTATAGAAGTTGCTTTGCATGTGTTGAAGCTTGAGGTAGTCGCTCATGAGGTTCGAAGTTAACAGAGGGTTTGCATGTTGAAGATCTAAAGTTTGAAGGAGTTGGTTCGCAGATCTGGAGATTGCTTGAAGGTTGATTGAAGATTGGTTGTAGAGTTTCAGATCTGGAGTTGCATGTGAATATGGAGTTAGTTTGAGATTTGTTGTTGGAGGAGATTGAAGACGGTGGATGAATTTCTGGGGAAAAACAATGAAGGTGCTTGAAGATCTTGATGAAGGAGATGGCTGAGAATTTAAAGGTTCTATGATTCGTGAAAATAGTGAATCGGAGGTTTGTTAATGGTGTTTCATAAATGATGAAGACGAAGTTTGATGATGAGATTCATGGAGGTTTCTGGAAAATGGATGAACGTGATGAAGAATGTACATAGATCTGGAAAATTTTTCATGAAGATATGAAGGTTGTTAGAAGATTCGTGAAGTTGCTGGAAGAATCTGAAGGTTGGATGAGTTTGATGAAGATCATGATGAAGATTGATGAAAGATTCTGGAAAGTTTTGATGAATATTGATGAACGTGTATGAACACGTAGGAATTTTGCTGGAAAAACATTATGAATATGATGAACGCGATGAAGATCGCGATGAACACGGATGAAGATACGAAGAAAAATCTGGGAAATCATGATGAACACGATGAGTTTTCCGGTGAGGGGTTTGGGTTTCCTGGCGAGCTTGGGCGGTGCTTGATTTTTCCGGCGAGGGAGACTAGGTTTTTTGGGATAACGTGGCGCCACCTGGAGAGAGAGAGAGAGAGAGAGAGAGAGAGAGAGAGTGAACAAGGCTATTTATAGCCCTGACACTTGTCACGGATTTGATGCATGATGGACTAGATTAGCTGACAAGTGGCCTGCGAAATCTGCACAAATCTGATTAGGACTGATTAATTGACTTAATTAATGATGCAAATGATTAAATGATGAATTGACAGATATTAATGAAATGTTGAACAATTAATGATAAAGTTGACTTAAAATCTATCTAAAATTGATTAAAGCTAAAGCTGCTTTGATATAAAAAGCTGACCTAGTTCATTCTAACTGCTGACAATTAAACTAACTAACAAAATAATTAATTAAAGTGACCTAATTAAAATCTATCTAAAATTCTAACCAAATTCAATCTAGATTAATGAACTCTAATAAAAAGCTAAAAGAATTAATCTAAACTATTCTAGAATAACAACCTAATATTCTAAAAAATAATTAATATTCTAATAAACACTAAAAAT